CAAAGCCAATCTATTTAAAATAAGTACTTCATTAACAAGAATGTGTTCAAAGATTTATACAATCACATAGGTTTATCAATTCTAAACAAAAAAGGCTGGGCAAAATAAATTTATCTAGAAAACTTTAAGATAACTACATTGTCCTTTAATATAACAGATATACCAAGTAATACGTCATGCTAATTGAACAGCATTGCAAATCATTACAGGCAACAGTGTAGCATTTTACTCTGTATTCTAGAACACATTTTTTCCAAAATGACTCGGTAGGATAATCTATTTCCCCTTCTTTTTTTGAAGAAGGGAAAAAAAAACTCAGAATTTTAAAAATATTTGTCCAACATATACTGAATAAGTATATAGGTCTTTAAATAATGCTTTAATGTTCTAAACTGAAAATGCTTATATATTTAAACAACGTATTTGAAATATGTAACGCATTAATGTGTAGGAATGACTCAACAGACAATGTGAGACAATCTGATGATATTCCAAAAGTACAGCACAATTGATTTCTACTGCTATAGGTAATTCTGTAAATTTTCTGTAAGAAAGTAAATCCTTTACTTTCTTACATCCAATAGCATACATTTCAAAACAAAACTAATTAATGTAGTCTAATCAAAAGGCCAATGTTTTAGATAAATAGTTCTGAGAAGTGATAAATACTTATCATATCCACTTATAAGTCTACTTGTGAAAGTTTTGTGGCTTCCAATGAAAATATCTTCTGTGGAAATGTCCTCTATGTTCTCTGCTGTAAGCAAAAATTGTCCCTCTTATTACAATATCATATTAGGATCTCGTATATAACTTCCATTCAAACCTACTCTATTAAAATGACAGAGTTGTGTTCAACTTTGCTAAGGTAAAAGAAGATATCACATTTAAGAAAAGAATCTCTCTTCCTTTCTTTGATTAAAGCATGACAAGTACAGAACAGGATATTTTGAATTCATATCAGAAAGGCGGCTTAAAATGTACAAAATTCATACAGAAGAGCTGAAGTAGAAACAGTTTGAAAGAATTAGCTTAAAAATGACATGTGTTTAAAAAAATGTTCAGTCACTAAAAGGGTATAAATGAGGATGTTCCCTGTATTGTTTCCAAAGAATATTAAACATTTTGCACATGTTAATATAACTGTTTGTTCATATGGTAAGAATAAAACAACTGATTCACACTAAAGTGATGCAAAACTACATTTTAAGTCATCTGAAATTTATGTATTGATCCAGAGCAATATTATGTTTCCCTTGATTCTCCAAGTCTAGAAACAGAAGGTCCTGAAATGTGACCAATGTGGTTCTAACATCTTCTGTTCTTTGCTATGTCACCCCACGAAACATTAACTCCTATCTTCCGTGTACTACAAAATGCAATTTGAAGATTGGAGAAAAAGTTAATTTCTCCATAGGCAGATTAACAAATTTTGTTGGGCATAAACTACTAATATGTACTAAACATAGTAGCAATTGAAGTCAATATTTAATAAGTTAATGAAAGCATTAATTTGTGTCTGTAGCAAATTACAATGTATTCAAAGACATACATGAATGTACTGAAATCCAAAGTTTAAGTAAAGGAGGTACCAAATGTTCTATATTGAATAGATGCATCATTAAATACTCTATCAAGAAGGTCCAAATAGCTCAAGTGAATCCTTCAGAGATTTATCAGTGAATAATATTATTAGGAGTAAGGGAAATTTTGATACTTAATATATTGCTTCACTAACTTTAAAAGTAAATTTAAAAATGATAAGAAAGCTGCAATAATTAAAAGGAATTTCATTATAAGTCCACTATTTAAGCTAAACAGAGAAGATGATTTGTAAAATGATAGATACAGTTAGTAGATCACAGAATGATTTCCCTGTTGTATTATAATGCGACTTAAGGAAAGTTTTGTTTTCCTTTATTTCTTTTTTTCTCTAAACAGATATTCTGGCATTTAGGAGATAGAAATGTATCATTTGACTTTTACACTTCTATTTCATTAATGTAACCACAAGCAACAGAGTCACTGACTGACATGTTTGCACTTTCAGGCCTTTAGCTCTTAAAGTTATTCGATAATTGTTATACCACTATTTGCTCTTTATTAGAGATACTGAGGAATGTGTTACATTAAAAATAGAGTAGCATAGTGGGTAAAACTTACTAAATGATATCATGTAATTCAGTAAAGTGTTCTCTTGAGCACCCGATTTTTGTACTTTGATGGGAGGGGTTGTATGTTTGAAGGTAAATTTTGTTTTGTTTTGTTTCCTAATGATTTAGAGAGTAACATCAAATATAATTCTAAGTCTCCAATGTAAAAACATAAAATATAACTGTGACATTACTTTTGATGAAAAATGTGGCACCTGACTTACACACTCAATTTGTCCTCAAGCTCTGTCTATATTGGTGTGAACAGAGCAAATACCAGATGCAGAAGAAGAGTCAAGAAAAATAACAGATACAATTGAACAATTTTTAACAGAGAGAGAACTTCTTATAAACAGATATTAAAATAGTTTAAAAAACTATGGACAATGTATAAAAATAAAAAGTGGGATAGTCCCTAGAGAATTACAGAATTACTATAAGCAAATTACATTGGGTAAAAAGTAATGTAGATCAGACTTCTGTTTCATATGAGAAGAAATTATTCTGGTTATTAAAAAAAATAAACACTGTAATTGGTAGAAACGTCACTTAGAAGAGATGGAGATTTTATTCTTTTTTAAAAAGTTTAAGAGTCAAAAGTTCCCTAATTAAGATATTACAGAAGTCAGGATAGAGCATCTCAGTGGATGTGTTACAGTGTACACAAGTAAACAAGGACTGCACCAAAGCAACAACACTGGAAAGATATTGCCCCCAATAGCTAGAGAAGCTTCACTATTGTAAGCAATGAGAGAACTAAACCTAGGTCTCCTAGAAGCAGAATATGGTTCCAGATATTTTAATTAGCTATACCATGTATTAGATTCATTAGAAACAAAATGCCAAGATAAATCACCCAAAGGCAAGTAATGTATCAAACCCTTTAGGTTGAAAATGTTCAAGCTCATTACAAATAAGCAATATGCTGCCACACAGACACAGATTGCAGCTCCCATGATCTGTGTTTGCAGCCTCTGAAGGTAGTGTTTCATGCTTACCACTGTTGTTCAAACTTCCAAAACAAACTTAATATAAAGAACATAAATGTGGGTTTTGTTTATATCCTCTATGGGACATAGAGTTCATAGCTTTTACAGGCAATGAAAAGGTATTTTACTAATTTATAACAAATTATATGTTATTTTTGTATACATTCAGTGGCATTTTGTATTTACAGCAGCATAGATAACATATTATGAAAGCATATTAGTTATTAGTGTATATCAGAAATTATAATAGTATTCCAAGTGAATTTGGGTCCTAAACATGTTTCAGAAGATGTAAAGCATATACCACACCCAAATTCCAGATTGTTAAATTTAAAAATGTTGCACAATTCAAACAGAAACCTATCCCACTCTCTGTCACCTTAGACATGCCACGTATACTGATTTTGTGTATCCACACTTACAAGCCAACTACCACCCAGTGGAGAGAAAGAAGATCTTTCAGCGAGATTTGAAGTGTAAGTCAGCTGGGGGTTGTGGGGGGGGGGAGGGCGGGGGGAGAAGGTAGGGCGATGGGAAACGAAGGCATAAGGGTGTTTAGCCTTGTTTAGATCTAAGCACTGCTGATCATCAATTCATATTTTCACAAGAAAAAAAAATGTTTCCAGAAGCTTACTCTGCAGTGTTGCTTAGGGGTAAAATCAGGCTGTGGATGTTCATTAATGACAAAACATTTCAGTGCTCAAGCTTAGGGAAAAGAAGGGAGGAAGGGAGAGTGAGAAAAGAAAAACTGAACATGGAAGGAGGGAAGAAGGAGAGGAGGAAGAAGGGATCAAGAGAAACAGAGGGACCATGTGTACACATGTGTGAGTGACAGTGTGTGGAACAGTGAAGGAGTGTGTGCCTTTTAAACAGTGAAAGAGAATGTGAACATGAAAGCGGTTGTTAGAGCACGGAAGTGCCAGTGTGTGTGAGGATGTGAAACGGAGTATGTAAGTGAGTGTGTTGAAGGCAAAGAGATCTGTGAGTGTGAGAAAACGGTACTGGAAGGGTTCAGAGGGAACATGCGTGTGTATGTGACGGTGATGGGAAAGGACATGGGGAGAAGGATGGGAAATGTGACAAAAAAGGGAAGCTAAGATCACAGAACAGGGACATGAAAAAGGAAGAGAAGGAATGGGGAGAAGTGAAGAGTGGAGGAAAGGGGGCTAAACAGAATCAGAAATCAGAGTGGTGAAGATAAACAGGAGGAGAAAATAGAAAAGGGAGGAAAGATTACAGAGAAAACAAGAAAAGGATGAAAAGAGGCAATAGAGGAAAAGGAGAGTAAGAAGGAAGTGGGAAAATGGGAAAGAAAAATGAGGAGGGAAAAAAGACAGAGGGGAGAAAACGATCAGCGGAAAGAAAGAAAGCTGGAGAGGGAGAAATTGAGCCTAAGTGTCCAAGTGAAAGGGAAAATAAATGGAGCAGGGAGCCAGCAGTTTTGAAAAAGTCGCTTAGGCTAGAGTAAAACAGAAACAAACCTGATAAACTTGTCGGACTCTCCAAGAGTAACCCATGACAGTAAAACAGAGACCATGTGAATTGAGTTTCAAAGTGGCACCTGCCCCTCCTAAACCTCACACTTACTCATCCCCGGGCTACTTGGCGTTCCAGCAAAGTGCTTTAGCATCACGCGTCCAGCTTGCTACCTGCCCCAGCGTAAAGGGGCCAGGCTCCCGGCAGAATCAGCACCTGGATTTCTTGAGACGTGTGGGTTTTTTTGTTTGTTTGTTTGTTTTTTTATGGTGATCACCACCAGCATTATTACTCAATGGTAAAAAAAAAAAAAAGCAAGAAGGGTCGAAAGAGAGACAGAGAAAGACTGAGACAAGTACGAAAAGCACGCCGTTCCTCCTACCTAAGCACCGCCGTGTCCCCTTTTCTGACCATCATGTTGTCCACGGCCGCCCAGGGGAAGTCCACACTCTGTCCAGCCGGGAGGCAGGAGGGTAGCAGGCAGCACAGGCTGAGGAGCACCGCCGCCAGCCACTGGTTCGAGCAACAAGCACCCTGCACCAACAGCATCATGTCCATCCCTGCTAGGGCTGCTCACTCTCCAGCAGCTTTCAGCTCGCACTCCCCCACCCCCTGGTGCTGGCGAGTCTTCCCGGGAACCAGGCGGCGCGCCACAGGATTTTTTTTCTCTTTTTTTTTCCTTTTTCTTTTCTTTTTTTCTTTTTTTGTGGGTTTTTTTTGGGGGGGTGGGGGGGGTTCTTTCTTTTTTTTCTTTCCCCTCTAGTTGTTGGCTGTTGTTTCTCTCTTTTTTTGCCTCCCCTCCTCCTTCTCTTCGCTTTCCCTCCCTCCCTCCCCTCCCACCCCCTGGCACCACACTACACCTCCTCTCGGTTGCGTTTGGCCGAGTCCGGAGTGAGTCTAATTCTCGGGCGGCTCGCACACCATCTAGCGAGGAGGCGAGCGCGCCGGCGAGTGAGGGAGGAGGCGCGGCGGCGGCGGCGGAGGCAGGGCGAGCGGCGGCGGCGGGCGGCTGCAATCGCAGCAGCAGCAGAAGCAGCGCGGGGCGCAGCGGCGGCCGCTGGCCCCCGGGCTCGCGCGCGTTGCCAAGCGGCCGTTTCCTTAGCAACCCCGCCCGGGAACTGGGGATCCAGCAGGGGAAGGGGGGGGGGAATTTAAAGGGGGAAAAAAAAAGAAAGAAAAGAAAGAAAACGGAAAAAAAATCCGGAGGAGGAGGTATATCACAATTATGCAAAGTGAGGGGGAAAGAGAGATGTATCTTAGACAAAATGCTTCCCTTGTCATATGCACTAGAGTGATGTTTTGCTAGAAAAGTCTCCGTGTCCGTGCTGAGGTGGAGAGCTGAGGGGCGCTTTGCTTTCCCTCTCTGGTGCGTTTTACCTCTTGAGACGCCGTAACTTTAAAGTCCTCCAAGTTGTAGTCGGCGCCATCATGACGCCGGGGACTGTGAGATTTTGTTAATTTTTTTCCAATCTCTCCTGGGCGGCCGCGCTACAATCGACAAGTTGGCTACAGTCGGCCAACTAGTTCACTCTTTACCTCTTTTAGGAAATAGGTAGGGACGGTGGCGGGGGTGCATGCGAGGCCTTGCGGTAGAGAAGCTGGTGTATCTATTGGGTCAGTCAATATGGATGGGAGGGCGCCCGCTACCCGCCCCCCGCCCTGTGCGTGCGGACACTAAATAGTGCGTGTGTGTGTGAGGTATGGTCGAAGTGGACGGTGTGTGTGGATGTGTGTGTGAGTGAGTGTGTAGTATGCGCGTGCACGGACTCGTGCGCGCGCGGCACGCAGGCGCGGTGGGAGGGACGGGGCGGGTCGTGGCTGGACGCAGTCGGGAAGAGACTGCAATCAAGTGTTTTAATTGTGTAGAGCCGGGCAGTCCTGTTATGTAAGAGGCAGTTTAACCCGTTTGAGCCTATCAGGCATGATGATCAGCGGATCCGAATCTAGGCAGGACTGAGTTTTCGGGTTTAACGAGTCACAGGGTTATATTTTTTTTAACAGCCTCCAAACCAGGTTGGATAGATATCCTCCTCCGCGGCGCAGAGAGGCTCCCCCTGCTTCCCACGCCGCAGCCTCTTAACCGCTCGCCCCGCCGCTGGGAGTCGCTGTCCTGGCGTAAGGCAGACCCGGGTGCTGGGCAAGGGGCCGCCCCTACCCATTCCTACTAATTCCCTTCTTAAACTCTTTTCCAGATTCAAGACCCTTTAGCTATTCCGGGCCATTTGCAGATCAATGCGAAAACCGAGGCTGGAGTCAATAGCAGTTACGCCAATCAATCTTGTTCAGTGAGGAGTTTGGGAAGCAGAGCGAGGAAGTGGAGAGAAACAAGTAATTAAAAAATATGCTCACCACCACCACCACCACCCTCAGCCCCCTTAAGCAGTCTTTGAAGATTTTCTTCGCCTTGACGCCAGTCCTTCTTCCCTTGGAGGAAATAAATAAAGCAAAACCGCACATCCCTAACTCGTTTTCCTTAATGCTAGCGGGATCCTTTGGCAAAGCGCACAGAAGCAATAATCTCTGCAGGGGTCAGCATCCGGCTGCCTCCCCAGACTGAGCTGTTTACGAGGCAGGCAGTCGTTTTGCTCAGGGCGTCGGTATCGGCGCTCAGGGTGATTTTTATCGCAATGCATAAGGATATATGGGGAAAATAGGGAAAGGCAAGTGTACCCATCACCTGTGACCACCCAGACTAACTGCTACAGGAGCCCCTAACTAGCATCACCTCCCCGCTGAACTGACACTCCAGTGCTAGGCAATTAACCGAGACGCTTGCGGCAGGAGTTACCGATGTTATTCGTATTCAAGCTTAACTCTCAAACCCGGCTCAGAAATTGAGAGTGCAATAGTAGTATTCAACCGCATTTTGAGACATCAATAAAATGTTAGTCATTTGCGGATGAATGAAAACATTTTCTTTACCGTCTGGTATGCTAGGGAAATAATTGTCAAATGACAGATTCTTGCTAATATTGATGCCAAATACCTAGATAACACTGTCATCTTGTTAACTGCGTTTTTCTTTCTCGCGTGGTACACTGATGGATAAAGCTTAAAATTATCTAGGGCAAACGGAAGATTAGAAGAATCAGCATGTCACATGCATGGGTAAAACTATGCAGTATTATTTATATTTTCTCTAGAAATGATCTAGATCCCATTGAAGAGAAGCAGAAGGCACAGCTTCCGGCATTGTGACTCAGTTTAGTGCTATTTTATGCAGAGATGGGATGCCAGCGTTTTCTAGTACAAGCTATGAAAAGCATCCTTTTGTAACTGCTGTTTCCCAGAGATCTGACATCTTGTGGGAGGGAGAATTTCTGTGACCAGGGACGGAGCTGTGCAGCAGTTTTAATATGTACAGCAACCCTTCGGGCTTGTAAAAGGAAACTGGAACCACTTCTATTTAAAGGCAAAGAGTTTATTTTCTTTATTTCTAGTTTTTATCTCAACTTATATTCACTGATCACAAAGCACTTAAGTCTCACAAAACCCATCCAAAGGAAGCAATAACTAAACCTAGTTTATAGATGCATAGACTATTGGAAAGATTATTTTCATGTACATCAGGAAGCCCCTATTATTATGTGTACTTTTGCTGTCCTTCTGACTAAGGAGGAATGTGATTTTAAAAGCGCGTATGACTTTCTTTTCTCTTCATTCTTTCTAAGGGCATATTTCTGAGAGGATTTTACAAGGTTTCCAGTATTTGCTTTTGCGGCCCTACATTTCTTCCAAGCAGAGACTTAAATTCTGGCAGTCTTGGCTTCTTCTAAGGGAAAACCAGAACGAAAACAAATAACAAAATGCAAGAAAGAAAACCTCCCAGCTCAGATAGCACGTGGTTCCTTAGAAAAATATTTTTAAAGTATCTAGGTAACAGCATTGTTTGAACTTCTTTGATGGGGAGGGTTGGAGTGGTTATAGTAGGATGTAGGATACTCTCGGTCAGAGTATATAAGACCTGACGTTGGAATGAATTACTACTTCCTTTTGAATCATGTACATTTATTTAATGTAATTTTATTTATTTTCAAAGCTCAACTGCTAATATTCCAAGAAGTGGGCAACTAATTTGAGTTCCTTTGGAAGGAGAAAGGCAGAGCCTGATATGTGATAACTCATTATGTCATTATCTAGATTGGTTTACATCCCTGTTTTTCATGCCCTGAGACCTCAGAGGTGTTGAAAAGGTAAAGTTATAAGGAAGTTTCTTAAGCTTTCATAGTTTAATAAGCTTTATTTTTTACAGTGTAAATGAGATTCATATTAGGAAAAAAAATAGAATATAAATTCACATTTGTTTTCTGATGATGAGTGAGTAGACCCAGATATATCTTTCATGATACTACTGTCTAGGCATGAGAAATTTTAGGCAAGACAGGTCCCAAGACCTAATGGAAACTGCTAATGAGAGCACTTTGTAATTCCTGAGAGTTGGTCAGATAGCCCTTATAAACAGGACATATGAGTAATAGCTCTCTAACGTGGGCCATAATTGATTCTCCATTTGAATTAAGCTGGTTTAAGTTTGGAACACCTTGCCAACTTAAACTCACCTATCTAGAGTAATGATTTGCAGGGCACTGTGAGAATTACAAAGCTCAAGAATTTTGTTGGGGGCAGGCAAATATTCCTTTACAGAAAAGTTTTTCAAGCTAGACACTTTTGACATTTTGGGACAGGTAATTTGTTGTGAGGATTGCCCTGTGCATTGGAAAATGTTTAGCAGCATCCCAGACCTCTACTCATCAAATGTCAATTGTACTGAGAACTAACTTAAATCTTTGTATTCTTTAAATAGTGACAGCTACAGAGTATGCTCTCAGGAAATGGCTATTGAATAAAGGAAAGGAAAAGCAAAGTCATTTCACTGTTGACTATGTAAAAATCATACCTTAATTTATTCACTTACCCATTTTTATCACCTTATCTATTAAATGTAGATGTTAACCAAAGAGTTAAAAAGTGGTGTTGAAGAGGGGTACAAGAATACCTAAGCTGCTTTCAAAGCTCTTCACACCATTCCTATAGACTGGCCCTGGAAATTTCACCTAAGGACTTAAACCAGAAAGTGAAGTCTTATGATAAATGTGGGTGGAAATTATTTTCAAAGTATTGAAATTGTTGGGGTGCCTGGGTGGCTCAGTCATTAAGTTGAGGCTTCGGCTCAGGTCATGATCCCAGGGTCCTGAGATTGAGCCCCGCATCGGGCTCCATGCTCCGCAGGAAGCCTGCTCCTCCCTCTCCCACTCCCCCTGCTTGTGTTCCCCCTCTCGCTGTGTCTCTCTCTGTCAAATAAATAGATAAAATCTTTTAAAAAAAAAGTATTGAAATTGTTATCCACTTGTAAGATAATGAGTACAGCTTTAACTATATATCATCATATATTTGTATGGGTTCTGGAAAAAACCTAATACCTCTATCATTATTAAGATTTTTCCTCACCCACTTTAGGGACCTCGAGTGCATCTACTTAAATGTCAGTTTTAATATTTTGTATTGGACTATCAGGAATGTAAAATCTTACATGTTCAAACTAATATTCGATTTTATTTTATTATGTTATTTCTTTTTATTTCCTAAAAAGTCCCATCTTTTTAAGAGATAAATATACATATACAGAATATATACAATAGATCTTGTATATATATTTTTATAAAGACTTTATTTGGTGGGGGAAGTTTTAGTTTTACAACAAAACTGAGAGGGGTACGGAGATTTCCATTACACAGTCTGCCCCACACACGTAGCCTCCCCCATTATCAGCATCATTCGGCAAGGATGAACCTACATTGACAGATCATAAGGCTTCACTCTTGATGTTGTACATTCTATGGGTTTGGACGGATGTATAACAACATACAGCCACCACTATAATATCATACAGAGTATTGTCACTGCTCTAAAAATCCTCTG